TTCGGTGGTTCGGTTGGGATTGAAAGGAGTTGTTTGTAGCTGCTAGTTTTGCTTAGTTTAGAGTTACTTGCGAGTACCTGTGGTTTTCGGTACTCACCCTTGCTTCTACACAATTGTGTAGGTTGACAGCTCTCTCAGATTCGGCTTAGTATTTTTCTTTAGCAGATTGAGCTTCGGGACATACTCGAGAGGTAGCGGTTCATTCCAGACGTGCCCTTGAGTTATCTTTACTTTCAGTTTTGTTCTATTCGAGAACTATACTTTGAGACTTGCATATTTTTATTCGAATTCTGTATTTAGAGGTTTGTACATGTGACAACCAAATTCTAGGTAGTGTTGAGTCTCAATTAAAGTCTTCCGCTTATTTATTATCTTTTATTCTCGTATTTCTACTTCTCTATTGTTGTGGTTGGGTTAGGCTGACGTGTCCGGTGGGAAATGGACACGTGCCATCACATCAGGATTTTGGGATGTGACACGCAGAGTATGCGTCAGTACTTGAAAGGTACTGAGCATGAGGGATAGAGTAAAACTGAACAATAACATAACTGAATCAAAGCATATATCTGAACAATGATATAAGGTAAGCATGATACAACTGGAATACTGAACATGAAATACTAAATGCAATGACCAAGTTTATAACATGTTGAGACTGAATATTGAACTATACTGATAACATGGTCAATGCAATAGAGTCTGACTGAACTGTAAGGGAGCTACTAATAACCGACATAAAACCACATGAGCTAAATGTGGAGTCCGATGTATACGCCTCATCAAGAGGACCCAATATACTCAGCCAAAGGTATAGAGACATGCTGGTGTGATCACTAAAATGATGTGCCCACAGAGGGGACTTATAAACCTACAAGGGCACGTAGTTCTCGGACTATTCGGGTAGGATGAACCCTATTCCACTCGGTATTAAGCTTCTCCCAATTGATTAAGTAATTAACACTTTATAATTGAAACACTTTAGTACTGGATAGCTCAAAATACTAACATGCAAAATCTGAGAATACAACATTAATATACTGATAATGACACATTCGAAACTGAGGCATGCATGTCTGAAAATATCTGAATTATTTGAAATAACTGACCTAGCAAGTTTAATTCATGAACTAAAGAACTACATAGCTAGGGTTCTGAATTTATGAAGGAAACTATATTAAAACATGCTAAAAGCCATGATAAACTGATTTGGAACATTCAGTAACTAATTCACAACAATCTGCTATAATTCTAGAAACCCTAGGTCTAGTTGATAATAAGGGAATCAAGAATCTGACTGAAATCTGGGACCTAATGGGTGAAAGGGATCCACTAGTGAAATCCCACATACCTGATGACGAATTCCACAGAAAAATCTTTCGATTTCGGGGCTGGAACTGATGGAACCTTGTTGCGTTCTTGAACTAGGGTTCTTGACCTCTTTTCTCCTCTTACGCTCTAATTTTCTAAGGTTTGATGAATGATTTGACTTAGGTAAGTTCTAGTTATGTTTCTAGGCTAATACTAACCAAAACCACATAGTATATGGTCTAAACGACGTAGTTTAGGGGTCCAACGCATAAGGAAAAGACCAAAAGACCCCTGACTTAATTGTTGTCGGGGTCACCGACGGACCGTCGATCGACTAGCGATCTGTGCTGGTCAACCGTCAGTCGTGACTGAGGGCTGGATTTTGAGGATCCGACCTACGGCCCTGGACCACGGACCATGGTCTAACCTATGATCCGTAGGTCCTGGCATAGCCTGACCCTTAGCTAATTTTCTTGAGGCTTCTGGGAGAAGAGTCGCAGGTGCGAACCACAAACCTGTAGGACGGACCGTGGGTTCTCCTATGGTTCGTGGATGGTACCCGTGGGTGCCACCTGCAACACCAGAAATCTGCAATCTGGTATGTTTTAGTATACAAGGTGTTACATTATCTCCCCCTTGGGAACATTCGTCCTCGAACGAAGACTAAACTAGTTGGAGATGGAGGGAACGAGTTGCAACTCTACCACTAAACACTGGAAACTGATTTCTTACTGAACTAAGTTCCAAGAACATGCAAATACGCTGAAAATGCAAGTACAAACTGAAGGAACATGATACTAAGACTAAAAATGCGCATGAATGACTGAAAAATTGAAGAGGAACTATTACCTCAAGCTGGAATGGAATCATAAGGAAAGAAGTGAGGATACTTGGCCTTCATGGCTGCTTCTGCTTCCCAAGTAGCTCCTTCTACGAACTGCTTCCTCCAAAAAACCTTGACTGAAGCGACTTCTTTGTTTCTCAACCTTTGAACCTAACGATCAAGGATTTCAACTGGTACCTCTTCATAAGTGAGACTATTCTTCACAACCACACTTTCTAAAGGCACAATAGATGCTGGGTCACCTACACACTTCTTCAACAGCGAAATGTGAAAGATCGGATGCACTGCTGCTAGTTCTGTTGGCAACTCTAACTCAAATGCCACTTTACCAACCCTTTTCAAGATCTTGTAAGGTCCTACATATCTAGGACTGAGCTTTCCTTTCTTGCCAAATCTCATCACCCTTTTCATAGGCAACACTTTCAGGAAAACCTAATCATCAACTTGGAACTCTAGTTCCCTTCTCCTTACATTTGCATAGGATTTCTGGCGACTCTGGGCTATCTTAAGTCTATCTCTAACGAGTTGCACTTTTTCCATAGCATCATGAACTGATTCTGGCCCTATCAAGGTTGCTTCACCTACTTCAAACCAGCCAACTGGAGATCTACCTCTACTCCTATACAATGCCTCATAAAGGGCCATTTGAATGCTGGAGTGGTAACTATTATTGTAAGCGAACTCTATAAGAGGAAGATAATCATACCAACTACCCTTGAAATCGATCACACAAACTCTCAACATGTCCTCTAAGGTCTGAATGGTATGCTCTGCCTGCCCATCCGTCTGCGGATGAAATGTTGTGCTAAGATTAACTTGAGTACCAAGACCTTTCTAAAATGACTTCCAGAAATGAAAGGTAAATTGAGGACCTTTATCTGAGATGATAGACAAAGGAACCCCATGCAACCTAACTATCTCATTAATGTAAATCTTGGCGTAGTCCTCCGTCGAATTTGTAGTCTTAACCGCCAAAAACGCGCAGACTTAGTTACTCTATCAACAATTACCCAAATGGAGTCATGATGTCTGCGAGTACGAGGTAAACCTGTGATGAAGTCCATGTTGATCACTTCCCACTTCCAAGTAGGAATGTTGATCCCTTGGGTCATACCTCTTGGTTTTTGATGTTCTACCTTGACTTACTGACAATTGGGGAATTTAGCCACAAAATTTGCTATGTCCCTTTTCATACCATTCCACCAAAAGACTTCCCGCAAATCATGGTATATCTTAGTGTCGTATGGATGAATAGAATATCTGGAATTATGGGATTCTACGAGAATCTATTATCTTAACTCACCTACCTTAGGAACACATAATCGACCCTGATAGCGAAGCACACCAAATCCCCCTTGGGAGAAAACCTCAATTCTCTGTTGATGGACTGCACCCTTTAGTTGGAGCAATATAATATCACTCTCTTGCTACTACCAATGAAGATTTTGACCCATTCTGAACTGTTACACCACCATCTGATATGCTCATAAAACGAACTACTAATCGAGCAAGTCAGTGCTCCGAGGCACTAAATTGTGGGCTAATACAGACGAAAAACCAAGAAAGTCACGTAATTCCTAAAATATGGCTTGTAAATGCGAAAATATGCCTGATGGGACCGTATGTAACGCTTCCCCAACTCATTACAGATGTCCTCATAAAGTTATTTGAAGAAAAAATTTGGGTGCTCCGAGGTCCTAGATCCATGGGCTAATATCCATGAAAAACAAAAAATAGTTTCGTAATTCCTAAAAGTTGGCTAGTAAATGCAAAAGTATGCGAAAAATGGTGTGACTGTACGTATCGCTTCCCAACTCATTACAAATGTCCTCTTAAAAAAAAATTCAGAAAAAAATTTGGGTGCTTTGAGGTGCCAGATCCATGGGCTTATACACATGAAAAACCAATAAAGTCGCGTAATTCCTAAGAGTGGCTTGTAAATGCGAAAAATTGCCTGAAAATAATGGTGGGATTGCACGTAACACTTCCCCAACTCATTACAGAGGTCCTCAGAAAGATTTTTCAGAAAAAAAAATTGGGTGCTCTGAGGCGCCAAAACCATGGCAAAACACGAAAAAACAAGAAAGATGCAGTATTCCTAAAGGTGGCTTGTAAATGCGAAAAATTGCCAAATAATAGTGGGATTGTACGTAACGCTTCCCCAATTCATTACGGAGGTCCTTATAAAGTTTTTTTAGAACAAAATTTTGGGTGCTCTAAGGCGCTAGATCCATGGCTAATACACACGAAAAATCAAGAAAGTCGCGCAATTCCAAAAAGTTGCTTGTAAATGCGAAAATATGTTTGAAAAAACGGTGGGACTGTACGTAACGCTTTCCCAACTCATTACGGAGGTCCTCATAAAGTTTTTTTAGGATACCTTTTTGGGTTCTCCGAGGGGCCAGATTCATGGGCTAATACACACGAAAAATCAAGAGAGTCGCGTAATTCCTAAAAGATGGCTTGGGAATGTGAAAATATGCCTGAAAAAAAGTAGTGGGACTATACATAATGCTTCCCAACTCATTACGGAGATCCTCATAAAGTTTTTTTAGGATACCTTTTTGGGTTCTCCGAGGGGCCAGATTCATGGGCTAATACACACGAAAAATCAAGAGAGTCGCGTAATTCCTAAAAGATGGC